CCCTCCTGCCCAGCACCTCTCCATCAGTGGGAGGCAACCAGGTTTTCCTGAGGTTGGGAAATCAGTTGTGCTCCTGTTAGGCTAGGAAAGAGGGGTGTCTTCAGGTTCTTCGAAGATTTCTAACTTCTGGTGGCCTGGTCTCAGTGATATCCTTCAGGCAGAGGATTACTAAGTAGGATGCTGTCGTTTTTATTTTTGCTTTGTATGTGCCAATTTAACACAAGGCATATAAACATTATGCACTAGAAACATACTAATAAAAAAAATAATTAAAATCGGGGCCGGGGAGATGGCTCAGTGGAATAAGTGCTTCCCTGGAAAGTGCAAGGGCCTGAGTTCAATCCCCAGTTCTGGAAAAAAAAAATCAAAATCTTTTAGCTACCATCTTTTTACTTTTTTTTTTTATTTTTAATTTTCAGAAAAATAATGCATTTTACATATGGAAGAATCTGGATTTAGGATTTTTTTTTTTTAATGTATTTGGTACAAGGTCTCACTATGCAGATGGGACTCAATGATCCTGTTTTCAGCCTCCCCAGCACTGGGATTACAGGCGTGTGCCACCACACCCAGTCTTGGTGGCCTCCTCAGCACACCTGGGAGTGGGCCTGGTGCGGCACATACTGCCGGGGATCAAACCCTGGTCCCTGTGCTTGCCAGGCAGGTGCTTAGTCTGCTGAGCTTTCTCGCCATCCCGTAGGTTTTTTTTTGTTTTTTTTTTTAATTTTTTTTTAACTAAATAACAAATTGTTTAGTCTGGAAAGGGCGGCAAGTCTCAAGGCAATCAACACCAAGTTCTAGCTTGCCAACGGAGTATAAACAAACCCTGACAAAATGTTTGCTTCAGAGCACATGGAGTACAAATTCAAGGAGTCTCAAAGCAGTGGAGTACCAGTGTATGACAGCAGTGGCTGTTCCTGGTATTTTGAAGTCACAGGTATGATCATGTTCAAATCCTTTTGTTCTCACAGACGGAGTATGCAAGGTTCGAGAATGGCCGATTTGTATACCGAATAAACCGCTCCCCGATGTGTGAATATATGATCAACTTCATCCACAAGCTCAAACACTTACCAGAGAAATATATGATGAACAGTGTTTTGGAAAACTTCACAATTTTATTGGTAATGTGTCTTTCCTGTCTTGGCAGACTCTGCCGTTAGGCTTCTTGACTGTAAGGAACATGGGCTGGGGGCGCCAGGACATTGGCCAAGGACTCAGAGCTGTCCCCTGGGACCCCCGTGGTCAGCTAGCAGTTAATGCGCAGTGTCCATAAGCACTCGGGCCACGTCTGGGCTGGACTACCTAGGAGGAAAGCGCTCTTCCCTGGCTGGGATGACTGAGCCGGCCAAATGGGGATTCAGGAGGGTGGCAAGCACAGTGGCCCTGGGTTATCAGCTCTGGCTACACATTAAAAAGACCCGTGGACCTTATAAAAAATCAGGCTGCACCCTAGATGAATTATATCAGGGTCACTGAGGGGACATCTCAAGCACGTGCATTTTTCATTGAATTTCCAGCCTCAGCCAGATTTGCCTCAGTGATTGTGTGGGATAGATATCATAGGCAGAACCCAAGCTGAGTCTATAGGGCTGTACTTCAGACATACCTTGATTCACTTTGTGAAGGATTTCCAAGACCTTGTAAGAAGAAACATGCCCTAAAATAGCAACTAGAAGTGTCAGGACCTAAAGAAATATAAATAATTAAAGTGGAATTCAGTTACCAGGAACTGAAGGAAAATGTCCCCCATAGACTGAAAAATATGGGCTAAACCTAATTGGTAACTGGAGACCCCTGAGGGGAAGCTTCCTGCCCCGAACAGTGTGGTGTGTGGTGTTGCCTCTGATATTTCACTTTAAAGCGCATATTTCTCTTGGGGACTTCATTTGGAAACTGGGAAAAGTTATTAAGAACAGTGTTGTTCTCAAAGTATACTTATAAAAATGCGGTAATGAGTTTCCTAAGGCTCATCTTTAAAAAGTAACATTCCTTGATTACACTTAAAGGGAAAATGCCCCCCAAAAAACTTTGTGGAAGTAATTTTGCTGAAAAGGCTAAATTGTGGTCAAATACTCAGCCCTCCAAAGGCCTGCTGTGTCACTCTTCTTTCACCAGGATTAAGAACTATTTACAGTAGGAATTCTTCACCCATTATTTTGGTTCCCTTAGGGCTGGAGCTCTGGATCTGTGAAGTACTGGTTTCAAAAAGCAACCTCCTTAAGCTCCCACCCCATTCCACCAACCTATTCTGTACCTTTACTCTTTGCTTTCCCAGTGACGGAACCCCCACCAAGGCGATTTTAAACTGTGCTTGTCCAGCTCACAAAATGTTTCACTGTGTCAGAACTTAAATGAAGCTATACCTGTGCCATTGAGAAGTAGATCAGATTTAAAAATTAGGAAACCCACAAGCACATGGTCCCAAGTTCAGTCCCAGTACCAAAAAATCCCTTTGCGTATTAGATTCTTCCGGCCGGGGCCCCACACAGTGCTTTTTGTCTGGTTCTCAGGCTTTTCAGACAGCACACAGCTGGACTTGGAGCCCTGCTGACAGGTGACTGATAGGGGAGCTCAGGGAGCCCCGGGGCTCTTGGCCACACGATTGTCCTGCACCTCGCAGACATCATTTTGGCATACAGTTCATTTATTCTTGGGACAGAGTGACAGTGGAGTCCCATATGTGCCCTTGTGCCTCTAAAATTTAGAAACTAGCCGTGCAGGAGAAGTTTTAGAGTGCCCGCTCTTCAGTTTCTCCTCATGAGTGTCCTTGTCTGTGGTCTTCTGAGGAGCGGCAGTGTGCGGCATGGGCACTGCCAGTCACAGAGGTGCGCTCTGCTGCTCAGGTGCGGTACTGTCTGAGTGCTCAGCGCGCGGCTGTCTGCCTCCCTCAGAGGGAGTCTAAGCTGTTGCTTAAAATCCAGCCTGTGTCCCTAACACTTGGCTTCCAAGATCTCGGCTGGGATAATTATGACCAGGAAACGTCAGAGCACCTGTTCTCCACACAGCCCAGGTAACTGTCAAGGGACACACCCAACTTGGCCAACACAGCTGTTTGGGGATGTCCTGGGGTTAGCTTAACTTCAGAACGAGTCATTGAGTGATTAAATACATTGCTCTGGTAGGAGGGATTAAGAGGCCACCAGAAATGATGTCGCCTCAGGAAATCTGAAATTAAGCCAGCACTCCTGGATTATAAAAATAGAATCATCTGATCATCCTAGTAATAACCAAACAGAACAAAGGCAGCAGTTGAACAGCCAGCCAAGTATGTCCGTCTGTCTGTCTGTCTGTCTCTCCCTGTCTCACTTGATAGTTCAGGCTGCCTTTGCATTTCTGTGACCAGGCTGGCCTCACGTCAGGTGGTCCTCCTGTCTCAGCCGCTTGACAGCCAGTGTGCACTGCCACGCCGGCTCTGCCATCTTTTGAGGTAACATTCAGACACACAGGCTGATTAAAACTTCGTTGATTTCTTCTTTGAAACTTCAGTCACAAAGTCAAATCTAGAGAACTGTTTTCTAGCTAGTTTGGAAGGTTTCAGGTTCTGTGCCCTATAGACCTTTTACAGATGTTATATTCTAAACTTCTTACTACAAAACTAGGAGATCATTTTCATTCCTGTTTTTATGAGTACAGAGTGTTAGACCTACCCAAGGTAGGAGGCACAGGGTGCTGGACAGATGATACCTTGATGGGTATGCGTGTTTTTTAGATTTGCCAGCTCTCCTTGGATGTCAGCTTTTCAGGGGTGCTGTGGGGGACCTGTACAAGTGGGGCATCCCCCTGGGGGCCTAAGGAGGAAGGCAGGCCTTCGTCATGTGGTCACTCAGTGGGTGGGAGCTAGAACTGCGGCTGGCCACTGGCAAGGGACTCTGTGCCAGTGGGTCCTAGATTTGACCCACTGGGGTTGGGAGAGGCTTCCTGAGGAAGGAGCACTTGGGGGAGACCTGCCAGTAAATAGGCGGCACCAGGCAGATGAGGCAGCAGGTCCCAGGGGGAAAATAACAGCAGACACTCAGAGCTACAGTGTCCTAAGAGATGATTCACACATGCATAGGGAAACTGAGAGCTTTAGCTAGAGACCATAAACTTCTGTGCCTTAAGGGCAAGGACAGTTTCACACGGGTGAGGCAGCTGATGTACTGGGGGGAATCAAATCTAGTCAAGCAAGACTAGGCTTTGAGGTTCAGAACACTTTCAAACCAAATGCAAGGAGAGTCATGGGAAGCATTTTGAGTGGGGACTTTGGATTCTGTTTGCTTTTATGAGAAGGTTCCTTCTGAGGATGCCACGGTGACCTGACAGAGTGAGGTGGGAGGTGACGAGGGCCAGGGAGCTCAAGATCTGAGTGAAGGCGAAGGGTATTTGATATAAGGGCATGAGGAGGAGGAGCAGCAGCAGGTGGATACTGGAGGTACAGCCTGTGTTCATGGAAAGAACACTTACGGGAGCTCACCCCACCACACTCCCATTCTTTACAGTTTACTGGGTCCTGCTACTGCTGGTTCATGTGGTGGTAAGCAACACACCCACTTGTGTCTGTCATCGGCCATGGTGAAACGAAACTTTGAAATGATCTCACCAAAAGAATTATATGAGGCAAGGAGTATACTAATTAGCTTGGTATAACCAGTCCTCAGTGTATATCATAACACCACGTGGCACCCCACAAATTTCTGCTATTTTTATTTATCAATTACAAATAAAGTAGTAAGGTAGGAAACAGTAACCTAGGAATCATGATTACCCACTGGGGCAGAATTGGAGAAAATCCTAGTGGATATAAGGAAATCTGCTTAAGAAAACCAAACACACAAGCCACCCTTGGAGTCACTTCTTGGGCCCAGAGGCAGTGGGTGAGGCCTTCCTGCTGAGGTCTTCCTGCCATTTGGCATTGTGATTACCTGATTCAAGCGACACCTGTAGTTGGCCGTGGCTGTTACAGGCTGAGCAGATAGGTGGCCATGCAGTTGGATTTATGGCTACGGCCTCCACTTCGGCCACTTCCCTGGGGCACAGGTGCACCATGACTGCGTTGACGTGCTGTGACGTACCTGTACCATTTTCTGTTTTTTTTTTTTTAACAGGTGGTAACAAACAGGGATACCCAAGAAACTCTCCTCTGCATGGCCTGTGTATTTGAAGTGTCAAATAGTGAACATGGAGCACAGCATCATATTTACAGGCTTGTAAAGGACTGAACGTGGTTATTTATATATATAGATATCTGTATATACACACACGTACGTGCACACACACACTCTCCATTATCGAGCGACTGACTATACACCTCACCACACAGGGGGTGCCTGGCCCCGAGGTCACCCTGACTTTTCTAAATCCTGTTTGAGTGAAGTCATTTTTTCATGTGTTCATATTATTATTGTAGCTGTGAAGTTCTGGTACAGTTGTAAAAAGAGAAATCGAGTTGTTTCTATGTGTTCTTCAGATGTGCAGCCCACAGTTGCTCGGGAAGGTGAGCCTTCTAACCCGTCTCGCTCTGCGGAGACCTGTCCCTTACTGTGGTAGGAAGCGCTGAGACAGAGCAGTGGCCATGGGACATTGGCTGCCTTTATACAAATGTATTTAGTTCTCCTTTTCCAAAATAAAATTCTTGTTTTAAGATACAAGTAAAATTAATCTTTAAATATAAATGTAAATTAGTACACAAAACTAAGAATCTTTAGACTTATCTTTGTAACTAATTAGGGTGGAAGTTATGAAAGAATGTAATTCACTAAATTATTTTTTAAATGAAATCTTTCTTTCTTTTTGAAACCAAATGTTAAACTATAGCCTTAAGAAATGCTTGGTAGAAATACCCTAATGAGACAAATTTGTACTTTTTCCCTCAAGGTTAAAACTAATCTCCTAATCCATTAAACTCTTGAACAGATATTACAAAGGAAAAAAATTTTACCCCTTATCCTTAACATATATAGTATATTTAAAAATGTAAAATTGTATTGTACTAATGTGATGATTGATTATTTAATGAAAAAAATATGGCTCTTTTGCAATAAGTAGATAAATACTGAAAATCTAAACTTACAATGTTTATAGTTGTGTGTGCAGTTATATTTTATACGGACAACCAAAATTTTTATTAAGATGAGTAAATATTTGAAATTTTTAGCAAAATTTTAAATTGGCACGAATACTGCACTGTGAGCTGCAAAGTATAGAGAATCCTGTGGCTGGGAGAAAATTTCATCAACCAAACAAATAAAAAAGGCTCATCAGGTTTGGCGCCTCTGCTCCCCAGAAAATTGCAAGCATCCTCGCCAGCCTGTGGATAAACTTTCCTTCCTAGTGAGTGACTCAGTATGCATAGGAAGCTGCAGTGACCATGCCGTGCGTGTGCGCGTGCGTGTGCGCATGTGCGCGCGCGCATGGCTACTCAGCACTCTTGTTGAACATCCACTTGGTATTGCTCAGTTTGCAAAGTGCTGACAAGTATTGTTTCCAGTCTGCACCTGTGGACTTAGATATATTCTTCTCTCTGTGGACATCCATTTCTTTCACATCTCTCAACAAGTGATAATGGCGCTTGTTTGACTTAGGCTTAAGAGGCCCAGCTACTCCTCTCTGACCTTTTCAAACAGGCTCAGTCTCTTTCCAGGAGAGATTCAAGTTTCCAGTCCAAATATTCCAAAGTGTCCCCCAGGCAAGTTGGTTTCCTGTGGCCACATGTCTTGGGTTATTCCATAAGTCCTTCGCTGTGGGAGAGAAGAGGGGAGTACCTTCAACTTTCCAGAGGAAAATGACATTTTAATACCTGTCAGGAATATGTGAACACAATAGAACGTGAAATATTCTTTGTAAGTTGTAAATAATTTAAGATATTTTCACCAAGGCTAGAAGATAAAAGCCTAGCAGTACCACATCCAAGTAACTTACACACCCCTGCCCTTGGCTGCCACCTGCTCTGGCCGAGCTTGTGCGCTGTTCAGATCTTGTCATGAGTGTGACTGTGCAGCTGCCTCATGGCACACCGCACAACCCTGGCCTAAGCCTGGCCTTGCCCACGCGCCTCTGTAGTCACTGAGAACAGCAGGACGTGCAGACTTTCTCATTGGGAATGCAAGTCTGCTAGTACACCAGCAGGGCAGTGCTCCTCTTCCCCCACAACAGGATGACCTTTGTCCCCTCTTCCGATCTTCAGATGGGACTTTGCGGAATGCCCTAGCCACCCACTTTTCAGCGCAGCCTGCAGCCCAAGCGCTTAAGCACTTCCTGCAGCCATGATGACACTGACAGTAGTTTCTGATGAACACACCTCTTGGGGTGATTCTTTGGCTTCTATTGCCTGCATCCTTCATCAAGGGAACACTCACTCTCGCAAGACCTGGTCTTAGAAGCTGGTGAGAATGACCCCATGTGGCTAACTTCAGAGAAGAGATGCCCAGCTCACGTTCCACTGGGAATGGGGCTCTTCTGTGCTACTGGGAGTGCTCTTGGGGTTTACCTGCTAAAGCACAAAGGAAGCAGGGACCCAGGAAGGTGAGCTGGAAGACAGCTGTTGGCTCCCTGCCCCACTGCCTCCACCCTCCTTGCAGTGCCCTTGCAGTTGAGTTTTGGGGGTTTGTATGAATGACACTGAAAATTACTTTTGGCTTTTAAAGTATCTGTAGGATTTTAAATCCTTGTAAAGGTTTCTCCAGGAAGCACATGTTCCTTGTATTAACCACTGGTCCAGTCACCCCAAATTCTTGGGCTAGCTTTTCTTTGTCTCTGCCAAATCAAACCCTGGGGTAGGACTTATGTCCTCACACCTAGCCTGAGTCACTTTGATCTGTTGTCCTATGTGGTTGTTCCTTCTCTTTTTGTTTTACAAGCTTCCTAAACAATAAAGAGGCCCTGTACCACCCAACCACCACCCTCTGCTGGGTGCTGTCTTCTGGGTGTCTGTCCTTAGGCCTGCATGCTGTCTGCGGAGTTGGGAGGCCAGTTTTCCACAGGGAAGAGCTGGAGGACAGAGCTTTCTTCTGTTGGTGTTTATTTCCATTGCAGTAAGAGATCTAAAGGACAGCCAGGACTTCAGAACATAGTGTCCAGGCGTCCTGAGACCAGTGTTTTTCCTCCTCAGCACTACTGGGCTTTTGTAGTGGATCATCTCTTGTTGTGTGGGGCCATCCTAGGGTTGCTGATGTTCCCGGCATCTACCCAGCAGCACCCCTTTCCCCAGCTGTCAGAGGCCACGGTGTCCCAGACATACCACGTGTCCAGCGGGGTTCAGCATCACTCCCAGTCTTAAGTGACTACTCTGAATCATAGCCCACTGGCAATGGTCTCCCCTACCCCTCAAAAGAAGCTCTGCTGGGAATCTTGTTTGAGGCCCTAAAGGAAGGGGCAGGTGGGACTATTAATCCGGTGACTTTGTGTTCAGTGAAACTTCCCTTTTCTAACAGTCTTTCAAGCTACAAGTATTCTTTTGCTCATCTTTGGGGAAGTGAAAAATCGGCCAGTCACATCATCCCGTTGTCAGCTAACACTTGTTTAGAGAGCATTTCTGATCTGACTTTCAGCCCTTAGTTTACCAGGGGTTAAAAGAAAGACATAGAGGATCCAGTAGTTTTCACTATCGTAAGCTCATGGCTGGCATTCTCAAGCCACTTCTGTGTATTTCTTCTGGGGTGCTTCCCTGCTCTGCCTTCCACCATTACTGGTGGAGAACCTCCTGAAGCCACCAGAACACTTTCTTTTCATCTTTAGGATGCAGATAGGGAAGGCTCTTTCAGAAAAGCATTTATCACATTTTTCTTCCCTGAGTGGGAAGAGAGCCAATGCTACTCTCCTTCGTCTTGTGGGCGAGAAGGTTGGTGCCCAGAGGGGACATGCTGACTTGCCCAAGTCACCCTGATGGATAGTGACGGTCAGGGTGAGGACTCTTCAGTGCTCTGCCTCCTTAATCCTCGGCCTCTTCCTGCAGAGGCCATTCTTTTTCGGTGCTCTGTGCTTACATGATCCCAAGAAGGTGTGGAGAACATTGGTTCTGACAAGGGGCGATAGGGTAGCCCAGTGTCACCTGCTACCCCGTGGGGTGTCCCTGCCAGCCCTGGTCTCTGAGGCATCCACAAGCAGGAGAGAAATCTGATGAGCCTTTTTGCTTTCTCTGAGGAGGACATTTCCCCTGCCACAGGCTCTGAGTCCAATTTCTGTTTGCTGAGCATCCCAGCAGCAGAGTCCTGCCCTCCAGCCAGCCCAGTCTGAGCGCTTGGTGTTAGAAGTCCCCACGTGACTTTTAAACCCAAGTATTCTTTAGGTTTCAATACTGCGGTGGCTTTAGCCATTGTTTTTGTACAACCATAAATTATTTAAATCACATGAGATGACAGTCAGTTTTACAGACCAGGTACATATGATTTGTATACCTTTGTATATGCTCTGGTACACTACACGTGTCCTGACGAAGGGTAGCGCTACCCTGTCTGTCGGTGTTCATGCCTAGGACACTAGGGGGATGTCTGCATTGCTTATTTCTTTATGTTGATGTTCTGTGGCAAAGCCCTGCATGCATTATTTCTGAAAAGCCTTAAATCTCGGAGACATTGCTTGTAGGTTCTGCAGTGCAAGAGGCTGCCGCAGAACCGTGAGCCCTTTTGTAAGCTGGAAGTGTTTCTCTTACTACTGTTACTTTTTAAGGATGTTTTCAATTCAGAGCTGCCAAAGCATTCAGTAAGCAGTGCCTTAGCCATACCTTAGTCGTGCCGCCAGCCTTCTCGCACCTATCTTGTTGTCTGCTCACCAATTGGCCCAATCTTTGAAACAGAACAACAACAAAAAACTTGTTTCCCTTATTTTGTTCCTTAAGCCCATTTTTCTCTGGTTCTATTGGAAACTGGCGACTTGGTCTAAAATCTGAAACTGAACTCAAGTCAGTTTCTTGACTACATTCGCCAATGTCTGTACCAAAACAAAAGGTTGCAACTCTGTAGTTTACTAAGAAAAGTAAATTGTACTTTTATTGTTGCCTTTTGAATTCATGACCAAATACTTAGCTATTTGTGAATCTTCTGCACTCAAGCATGAAAGTGCCTTTGGTTTGAGATTCCAGCTTAGAAAAGTGCTGCCATAATAACGATCATTTGTAGAGAGACCAAAAATATTTTGAGATCACCGTAATGCCTTTGGTTTACCGGGCCGAGTAACCAGCCACAGGCCTCTGTTCACAAGAGTGTGCAGCAGGCTGCCTCCTGCAGCTCTGCCTGCCGTGGAGACCCCAAGCTGTTGTGCCGTGTGTGCCGACCACCCGGCGCGTTGTTTCTGATGGTCACCCAGCCCTGCATCCACATGAAGGAATTTCCACACGGACAGCAGAATCTCGGCCAGTGGACAGATGTGACAGCCTTCGCCCTCTCCTTGTGTCTGCTGGGTCTCTGGAGACTCCCGTTCCCATTCATGACAGCGCGCACTTACCTGGTTTACATGATAGTACCATTTGGAAAGTTGGAACCCTCAAACTGAGATGACAGTGCAGAACAAAACGTGCGTTAGGGCCATCATCATTGAAGCGTTCTGAGAGCAAACACGTGGACTCGAGTGTCGTGTATGAACGTGCTGCGAGAAACTTCCAAAGAGCACCATCCACAATTCGGCTTCTGCAAAGACTGTCCCAGCCCTTGAAAGGGCAGCTGTTCAGTCTGTCAGCTTTTATCCAAACCGTGTCTAAATTGGGAAAATGATAGAGGTGAGGAAGAGGAATGAAAAGGACGAGACAAAACCACAAAAACAGGAAACAAAACAAAAACACCAGCCAAAAAGAAGCCAGGAAAAAAGTGATTATTGTTTTCCTGCTAATATTGATGTAAAAATAACATCAGACAACTTTGAAAGTTAGCCTCTCTTAATACATTGTTCTGTCTCTCCCGGTGTCTGTAGCCTCCTTAGGCTGTGCCATTCTGCCCCAAGTTGTGGGTCCATGTAAGAGTTCCACAAACACTATGAAATGAAAAGGAGAATCACTGTACACAGTCAGAGTTCGCTGCCTGAATTCTCAGCTTCTCCCCTTCAGGACTACACCACAACTGGGAAGGAATCAGTCAAATGTGTTTCCTCCTGCTCCTCTTTGGAGCTGTTACTGTGTTTTTGTTTGATAATAGTTTTCTCTCATAGACTCTTTGCTTATATCTTTAACAATGAAGGTTTTGTGTCAAAAATGTATGCATTGCGAAAGTAGTTTCCCTGAAGTCATGCAGCCCTCGAGAAGATGAAATGTTGGTATTTATTGTCCTACTTCCTAAGCTGCAACTTGTTCTACTCTGTGAATCTGCATTGAGTCACTCATGCGCCAGCCACACTAGGTCATTTTAGTATTGGAAGCGGCATTTATGTTCCCTCCTGGACGTCACCAGGTGGGAGCAGACTTCACTAGATCACACTGTTCCAGTGGCCCTCCCTTGCCTTCCACGTTGAAGTGGCTGGCTCCACTGTCCCCTTCTCTAGGAGAGCGGACAGAATCTAGGCATAATCAGAAATCAGTCCCTGGTTGTTTTTTTTTCATTTCTTGCATTAATCATTTTCTGTGATTAGTTTTCACTGTGTAAATTATATGTTAACTGTACTTCTTTTAAAAATGTGCATCTCCCTGTTACCTCCTTATAAGATTTCCTTCTGTATGCCTTTTTTAAAAGTAGGCTTATAATTGAAGACAAAGAAAACCAAGTAAAAACAAAAACAGTATGTGCCTAAAAAAAAAAAAAGACAAAAAATTTTTGTAACATTTAAAAAATCCGAATAGCCTTTACTTTAATATGCTCCAGTTCTATGTAAATTGGTTTTTTGCCGCGTGTGTTTGTTCACATTCTAAACGACTTAATGGATTCTCACAGTCTCTGTGTCTGTCTCGTGTGTAGAATGGCTTGTGATGTAAGGTGTCATCCGCTCAGCGGGTCCTCTGATATTGTACTGCTGCTGGGCCTGAGCTGCGGAGCCCGCCTTTGGGAAGCGGGTTTCTCCAGCGTTGATTGGCGAGATGGGGTAGGGTGGGCAAATCCACACACACTTCCTTAACCTATTTGCAGAACTCTTCAAAAGGCATTTGTTTAAACCTCTTGGCAGTACAGTATTCTTGTATTTGTTAACGTTTGTGTTTAGGTACTGGTACCTTTTTGTTTAAAAATGTTCTAAGTGTTGGCTTTAAAGTGAATTTATCTTTAGTATGATAGTTATATGAAAATTATAGGGTTTGTGTGCAGAGAATTTTTTTATAAAGTGCTTTGTAAAAAAAAAAAAAATATGTATTCTAGCTTTCGCGGTACATATGTGTGATAACTTTAATATCCATGACAGTTAAGTGCAATTATTTCATCACTCTAAAAATGCTATTTTTGTGTCAGTTCCTGCAGGTGTTTTCATGTCTTTGCAAAGTGACACATTTTGATGCCTTCTTGATAAAAGTGGTAGACATTTTGTAGCTTTCTAGAAACTTTGTATTCATACGGTATCAATGAAAAATAAAGAAAATGAAAGTGTGGGTCACCTTTTTTATCTGCAAAAGTGTGTGTTGCTGAGACTGAAATGTGCTTTGTGCGGGGAGTGGCATGCGGGAAAGGTGAAGGGGCCACCGCCGTGGCCATTTGATGGTACCCGCCAAGCCCAGCCCAGTGGTAGGTGTTACATCTGACAGTGTCCTAAACTCTGCCACCAGACAGTCCCTCAGACTTTCTCTCTGTAGTATCAAAAATTTTTCAGAACAGCTTATCTGGATCCAAGACGCACCCTGAGAAGCCATACGCCATGAACCACAGCTGAATCTTCGGGCCGAAAGCACATAGACCCCACCATCGGACATGTGTTCTTCACCTGATTTTCAGGGCACATAGATGAGCCAGGGGCAGAGCACAGGATAGGACTTCTAAGGTAAAGCACGTGCTCTTGCCCAGCAGGTGCTCATGTTCCCTGGTGCCGTGGCCTCCTGGCCCTTGTCCTCAGTCTGAGGAGTTGGTGGTCCCCTTGTCTGCACGCACACACCATCAGTTCCCGGTTTCCTGCATGCTGAGTGCTATGCCCCTGTGTTGGCTCATACTGTGTGCTACACATATGTTGTATCCTTTAACTGTCACCGTAGCCCCAGGGTCATTGCTGCCTCCAAACTGAGGTTCCAGAAAGCCAGCTCATCCAAGAGTTAGGACGAATAAGAGGTAGAGCCATCAGTAAGGCCACCCTACCCTTCAGCCTGAACTCTTGGACGCTACGTTTTGGTTGTGCATGTACTGTGAAGCAGCTCTCGGCTAAGGGAGAAAGAGCTTTCTTAAGTCATACTGACCTTGGACTTCTGACAGCGAGGCCCAGTGAACCTTGGAATCCTTAGTTTGAGAACCTCAGAGGGTCTTACTCCTCTCTATTTTAAATAAAAGCTTCCTGAAATCCCAAGACACCCTAGAGGAGAGCGTGCACAGAGATCTAACATGCACTTGGGTTGCAAGTAAAGATCTTCCGAGATGGCCATTACTGGGGAGGAAGGCTATTCTCGGCAGGGACTGGGCAGCTAGAGAGGACTGTGCTGCATTTGGATGATGACCTATTTTCTGGGCATATATACACGTGGAAAAAACAAGAGTGCTTTTCTATAGGGAAATAGGCTTCGCTGGGGTGACTGTCTTTTCAGGAAGTATTCTCCCATTTGTTTTGGCTTCCACGAAGCTGAGACTTAGCATTGGTGCCCAGTGCAGTGGATAACGAGCCAGCTAGAAAGGTAAGGTGCAGAAAGACTGAACATAAGTGAGAAATAAATACTAGTAAATCAAACATCAAAAGAACTAACGTAGGGCTGGTGAGATGGCTCAGTGGTCTAAAGCACCTACTTAGAACAAGCTCAGCAAAGCACAGGGACCGCGGTTCAATCCCCCAGCACCACATGCCAGTCAGCCCCGCCCCCTGGTGGGCTGAGCTGGCCACACACACACACACACAAAATTTTAAAACATTAAAAAAAAAAAAACTAACGTAAGTACATTATCTCAGTATAAAGTGAAGATCAATGCTAGAGCTAATGAGAATTACTTCAAGATGTGTGAAATAAAGGTAATCAACATGTATGTTCCTAATAGCATAGCTTCAAATTATATAAAGCAAAAGTGGGCAAATTCTCCACCCATGAGCACTGCCTTGGTCAACTTTCTAAGCCCTGCCTTGATACTTTGCCATCTTAGTTATTTTTCTCTTGTCACTGAGACAAAATACCCAATGCCCAAAGTTGGAAAGGCTTATTTAGCTTACAGTTTGTAGAGGTTTCAGACCATAATTTACTAGCTCCAAGGCAGGGTAGCATATGGCAGAGGGGTAACAGTTCATGGTGGCAGAAGACAGCAAAAGCAACAAGAACAAAAAGGGGAGACACAAGTCTTTATCTGTATGCAGGCTACTCACCCTAGGGTGGGTGTAGCACTCACACCCCAAATCCTGGCACTAGAAAATGAAACAACTAAACTAGATTCAAATGCTTCTGTATAGCCCACTCCCCATGACCATGTGACATGTGGCTTTAGGGTGACATCCAGACACCATGCCATCTCACCCCTGGACCCGCAGAGATTCATGCACATTCCTTTATGTAAAAGACATTTAGTCCATCTCTAAGCGTTGCAAAGGTCATAACAGTTTCAATATTGCTGAAAAGTACAAGTCCCAGGTCTCCTCTGAGATGTAAGGAAAATGCTTAGGTGTGAGCCCCCATACAAACAGAAAGTTAAATACTTCCAACATTCAGTGGGACAAGATATTTCATTACAAAAGTTACAAGTGAAAATACAAAGGAATGGGACCAATGCAAATCCAAAATCTAGCAGGGCAAACATTAAGTCCTGTAGCTCCATGTGTAGCATCTGATGCAACTTGTGGCAAATTGTGAGGTCCAAAGGGCTTGGGGGTCTCTGCCCTCACAGCACTTCTGGTGATTGCAGCTCCCGTGGCTTTTGTCTTGGGCTGCCTTTTCTCCCTCACAAGTTTCCTGATGTCATCCACATTCCCAGCTTTCCAAACTTCTGGGGTCTCCACTGCGCCTTTGGCTTCCCCCTCACAGCTTCACACACTCCTCTTGGGAGCGCATGGCCAAGCCTTCTGACATTGGGGTGAAAGCCTTCTTAGCTTCACGACTCTTGGGTTCTGTGTGTGCCTAAGACCACCACCATGTGGATGATGCCAGGGTCTGCTGCCAGCTGGAGCAGTTGCCAGGTTTAAAGTCTTCCCCCACCCCCACAAGGGTTGAGTGCCTGGATCCCTGAGCACTCTGAATACAATTCAGAGGAACAATTTCTGTATGGCGCATGCCATCCTGGAACGTGCTCTGCAGCTTTCTCCTCAAAGCAAAGGCTTTCACTTGTGCAAGTTTGCGAAGGGTGGAGACCTGCTGCTTTTGGTGGTGCCCTCTCGCCATCTTGTCTGTTCTCTGTCCCTTCTCAGCAATCATGATCTCCCCAGCTCTGTCTTTGCAGCCCACAGCTTTCTGGAGCTTCCTTGCTGGCCAAACTCACCCTATTTTGAATCATTCTGCTGTACTCTTTGCTCTTGATTCATAACAAACCTGGCTAAAAGCCTCCCCCCCCCAAAAAAAAAATACCCCCTAAAGTATCCTGGCAGCACTTTAAAATAAATTGAGATTTGCTTAATTTTTTTGAAGGGATTTTTCTTATTTTATTTTATTGAGAAACAAATAGCAATAAAACAGTTTCAAACCTGATTAATGGGACAGTTTCAATAAATAATGCATTGTACATTGTTATCTTCTTAGTGGTTATCCATAGTACAAGATGCAGACAGGATATACTGTTCAAACACTATTAGTACAAATTTTCTCATTGAATTAAGCGAAAGTAGCTGTACATCTATCCTAACCTGCATATAGATACAAAATGGTCCTTCCTTTGTATCCCCTTTTTTTTTGTTTAGTCCTGTCAGAAATGGGTATTTCATTGGCATCTAAATACTATAGGTGCATGAATTCAGCAAAACAATCCAATACAGTCTGGCCGCCCACAATAATAGTGGGTTAGCCACAGAAATTGTTGACTTGAGCCTTTCACAGCTCAGCATATTAATATGGCTTTACTTTATATACCTCGTTCATATACTTTTCTGCTGGATGGTTAAGACCAAGATAAAGCAAGACCTGTATAACAAGAAATGCAACTTGTATCTGATAAGGTCAGTCAAGTCCCCTCAGGATGTACCCTGTTACCCTGTACCGCAGGTTGCAGATCCTTTGTCAGTGTCGATTTGCTTACATGGTTTTCATATTGCTCCATATGTAATTAAAAGATGAATTTGAAAATTGACAGATATATACATATGCATGCACATGGACATATTTATATACAGTTTATACATCGTTCATGGTATTTGTTTCATCCATTACTGAGATAGATTATTTTGATTCTAATATTCTGTCTCTTTTAAGGTAATTTTATGATTTAAAACACAATGTTTGCCTCCCCAAGATCTGTCAGATCTTTCTATTACTGCTTGATTCATAGGTAAATGAGGCCACAGTGCTGGATCTGCCTTGGCAGATGTCATGATTTGTGTCCGATGCCCCCACAAGCCTAGTGCAGTCATGGAGGACAGGCTAATTTTGGGAGCTGTTAGCCAGGCAGTGAAAGATCTTGGGACCTAAGTCTCAACATAAAATTCACTTATATTTCATAGACAATTTACACTCGCAACCTAGAAGCAATTCAGTGCGATATTTCTAGGGCACCTGCAGTGTGACCGGGCCCTGCCCCATAAGGTTAGGTGTGGGAGTCTCCCTTGTAGCCTCATGTCTGCACCAAAGGAGTGGATAGTTTGGAGAACTTGGGCTTTGGGTTTTCACATTGGGGCTGTTCAGCTTCTAGTAGATTAACGTGGCATGCACAGTTCTTTGCATGTGTGTCTCTCTGGAAAGGCTGCATGGAGGACAATATCTTGGAGAAATCCATGGAAGAGAGAAGCAGGAGAAATTTATATGTGGGCTAATATGTTCCCACCTCCAAATTCTCACCGGGCCACACATCACACAGGGAGGTGGCTGTCACCTGACCTCCATTCTGTATTAAAGCATCCTGCCTTAGCAGCTGCTCAGGAATTTGGATGCCTTGTGATGTGGTTTGTGAAAGTCTGAAAGTGGAGGGGAACCCTAGTTGTGTGGGGTGTCAACCACGGGAAGGAAAGAGAGAGGCAAATAAGGGAATCCGAGAAGTTGGCCAAAATTTATTGCTAAGCCGGGTGTGGTGCATGCTGTAACCCAAGCCAGCACTTGGGAGGCAGAGGCAGGAGGATTGCCAAACATTGTAGGCTGTTCTTGCTCATAAGTATAAAATCAACAAAATATAAGCAATCTGAGTAAACCAGTTTACGTAATACGTAACACAGGACAGAATGGAGCTCATCCCGGGAATGTAAAGTTGGGTTAGGGTTAGAAACACAGCCCGTGCAATTCACACTAACAGATGAGAAAAATCGTAGATCCCTTCAACAGGTGAAGATGGACACACCTGA